CCTACATGAAACATCAGTAAAGTCAGCTAAAAATCTTTATCATCCAAAAAATCTCTCGCTGTATCAACCTTCGATCCTCAATTTTCTTGCAGGAAATGTCCGTAAAATTCACTTCTCAAACTTAAAGATACCCAAATAATATATTTAGCGGGATAAACACAAATTTCCCATTTAAGCATTTAACAAAAGGAACGGTAATTACAAGTCCAAGAACAAACCAGTTGAAAAAGGAAAAAAAAAAATCAAAAACTAGAAAGAAATCGTAAAAGAAATGGGAGAAGCTAAGAAAGAGCACTGACGAGAGTCTGATGGGAAAATTAAAATTGCATTTGTGATTAGTAGAACGATTGTGATTATAAATTTTAATTTTAGCGGGTAAAATTTAATTTTAATTACAATGCTCATTGTCTAATTTTTCTTAAAGGGGATACTCGATAGTAACATCGGTTATGCGATTCCAAATTTTCAATTCTTAGCTTAGGAAAGGGATATGGAGGAGGAGGAGGTCTGGACTCTGAGAATGGAGGTGAAAGAAGTGGCTGGTGGCTGGTGGATAGTGGTGGTCGTTTACTCGTTTTCAGTTTTGACAGAGAGTGAGAAATAATGAGCTAAGAATTGAAATTGAGAGAGAATGAGGATTAAGGAAAGGGTTGCTGAAGGAGTAAGGAGGGGCGGCTTGAAGAGGGGCAGCATTTCTGACTCTGGATTCTGAAAGAAAGGGAAAATGATGACGTGTCTTAGGACGTTAGGCTTTTCTAATTTCTTCTAATATATATATATATATATACATTAAAAAAATAATTTGGTTTTTTACTTAAATCGAACAAAAAAAAAATCAAAAATCAAACATTACCTAAAAAACTGGAATAAATTTGATTCGTTTCTTTCTTACTTTTGACTTGAAAACTGAAACTAGATTGATATTTTTAGTCGATTCGATTTGATTTTTCCATTAAAATCAAATATTGTTCAACTCTACTTGCTAGCAAGACTATCAGTATAGAGAGTAAATATATATAATCGATTTCTCTAAATTTAATCAAGTACCTTAGTTATTTTTATTATGGATTTATCCATATTATTTTTATTCTATTTTATTTTATTGCATAAGTCCAAATTGAAGATGGATTTTGTCCAGACACAAGATTTTAGGTCTCATAAAGAAGGACACAAGCATTCTTATAAAACAAGCATTCATGTCCTATGTTTGAGATACCTTAAGAAAATTGATTTTTTTAGCTTAGAATAGAATACGTTAAAAAAATGTTAAATTATGACTCTTTTTAATCTTTATCAACAAGTTGAATAATTTAACCAAAAAAAAAAACTCAATTTCTATGTGTAGCTTAAATTCGATAGTCCAAATATGAATAACATAATGCGACCCTAACAATTAAGAGACATCCTTTTCTTATTATAAATATGGATTTTACAACAATTGTGAGGCAGCCTTTAAAATCTTTTGCAAATATTCTAAATTTTTTTTTATCTTTAGCAAAAATTTTAATGCTTTTTTTCAAAACTTTTCCACCGATGCACCGTTTAACTATTAAAACCCCCTTTAACAGGATTTTTTACTAATTGCCTCTCATTCTATTTATTTCTTTCTAACATATCCTACATTTCCTCTCACGTTTTTTCTTATATGCATATATTATATTTAGTTTTTAGATTATTATTTTTACATATCACAATATCAATTGTCTATGTATTTGATAGATCTGTTGATCAATCGTTTGATCAATTCTCAAAAATCTCTTACACAAAATGGATCAAAGATTTAAAATAACTAAAAACTATAAGTTCATGATTTAATTTGATCAAATTATTTATTTATAAGATACAATTGGAACAATTTCAAAGAATAGAGGGAGAATCAGCGATTTTCAGCACCCATGACCATCCATCCCAAAATTATATAATATAAGTATCACCAGTCTGTAAACCAAAATATATATATATATATATATATATATATATATATATATATATATAGTCTTTGTTTGAAAAGTGGAGGAAATAGATACCGGTTCACATTTCTAATCAGCAGTATGAACTCAAATCCCTGCTGCTTTCTGTTTCTTTCTCGAAATTGCCAAGCCAACTAGACTGGAATAAAAGCTGCATAGAGTTCCTTTAAGGGGTAGCATCTTTAACTAGTCAACGTTCGATGATCTCTACAATAATCACTTTTTTTGTTTCTTTCTCAAAAATTATATCTGTGCTAAGGAACAGAGGAATAAAATTTTCCAGACGACATCCTTCACATGACTAATCAGCTCAACATGTGATTTACAACATTCATTATCCTAAATGCGGTCTTGCATATTATATCTTTCTTCTCTTCTTAAATATCCACATGTATATGTGGAGTAACTTGTAAATTAGTCCCACTTGCTTCGGAAAAAAAAAACTTAATTAATCATCTGATTTTAAAGATTAATCATTTAATTTTTTCTACTATTTTTAAATTTATTTTAAGAAATATAAAAGAGATAAAAATATGAAAAATTTGATGAGCAAAAGAATATATTTTATAAAATAAAAAATTAAATTAATCATAGTCAATATTGATTAAAAATACTAAATAATTAATTTTTGAAACCGAATAGGTTAATATATAAATTACTCTATGTATGTGTTTGTTGTAAAGGCAAATAGCGAAAAGTTATCCTCTTTAACTTTTCATATTTTTGACAAAAACAAATTGAAAAAAGTAAGTTTTGAGGGGAGTAAATTGTGGTAAATTATTAGGAAATATTTGGTATGGTAAAAGAAGTGACGTTTAATTATTAGTTTTTTTTTTTTTGCAAAAAAAAAAAAAGGAAAATGACAAAATTATTAAGGGAGTTACAGTTTACTCTTCCAATTACGCAAATTGGAGATAAATGTTGAATAACAAAACGAGAGAGAAGAAAATGCGGTAGAAAGACTAACTTTACGTCCTTTCGTTTTTTATGGAGTGAAAATGGGGAGGAATGAAAGTGAAAGAAAAGTGGTTTATTATTTAAAACACTAAGGAATGGGAGGTGAAAATTTGAAAGATAAAAGTAGTATGCCATGCCCTTGGTTTGGAACTAATAAGTTGATTTTATGAGTTTTTCACTTATTTTTTTCTTCAAATCGCAGAAATCATCAAGTGCCCTTGAAAAAGTTTCTTTTTATTTTCATCCCCTCGCTATCCCTCCTCTTTCCGAATAAGGAGGAGGGTTTTTTGTCTTTACACCTTTTATCTCCCTCTTTTAATCCAATGTCAATTCTTTTCTTTTTCGTTTACACATCTAACATTTAAAACCCAACAAAGTGCATTAAGAATTGCTTTTTAGAAAAAAAAAAGAAAAAAGAAATTTGATTTCATTTTTAATATTTCTCACTATTAACCGTAAACTTTTAAATTTATCCCAAACATCCTTCTAACATCTCCCCGATTAATATTTTTTTACACCATTACAACTTTAATCATTTAAACCTTCAAATTGTCCCCTAGCAAACGTAATGACAAAAACCTTAGCAATAAAAAGAAAATGACCTTATTATGTAGTTCAAAAAATATAATGAATAAAAGCATCAAAATTAGATTTTTGATGATTGGTCTCTTTTTTCGGAAAGTTTCGTTTACAAACAAAAATATGTATTTTATTTGTTCTAGATAAATTGTTTTTATTTTTTATTTTTTACATAAATTAAAAAATAATTAATTGTTATGTCATATTAATATTTTTTGTTTATATCTTTTTGAAAAGTAGATGTTTTAAAAAAATTATTAGTCATCAAAATTAATCATTCATGACATAAAACCAATATTTATTGGAAATATTTTAAAAAAATACATCATACAAGTATTTTGAAATAACATAATTCAAAAGACAGAATCTCTTGTTTTAAAAAATATAACTAAAAAGACAGACAGCCTCTTTACTAAAAAAAAAAAAAGCATTAAACATTCATAACTCGCTAATTATTTCCACCTCCAAGCAATTTTAAATTCCCATTTATTGAAAAAATTTCAATTTCTGAGTCTTTTGGGACATCATCGAATTAGATTACAACCTTGAATGAACAAACATCATTAATCACAAAATAAAACAAGTTCAACACCGAATAAAATAATCCCAGCTATATACATATATATATATACGGTTTCGAGTACATGAAATACAAAGAGTGCTTGCAGTGCACTTTAGCACAAACAACGAAGGTAATGCTAAAGTGCGCCAGGAACCTCTGAAGCGTAAATGACAGCTACAGAAATATTGAGTTATTGACAATAGGAGAAGAGAGTGACGTGGGCTTGCAAGTGAATGAAAGCCATCTGCGAAGCATTGAACGGCTGAAGAATGAGGCTTCCTTTTATCCGTTGGTTTTTCCTCTCTTTCCTTTGAACGTTCAACGCAAACCCAACATATTTTTGATCCCTCAAATCGAAGAAAAATGAAATATAAATTAAACTGCTTTTACCAATGAATTTATTAATTATTATTAATACTAAATAACAATATTCTATTCTTTTAAGCCAAAATAAAATCATAACCCAATCATGAAAATCTTTCAAGTAAATCTAAAGAACCTCATGCACATGATACAACACTGTTTAGCACTACATTTTTCATAAAAGGAGAAACAAAACTAAAACAACCTTCAACAGTACAATTTTGGTTTTTTACTGATAAAATACAATAGAAGGAGAGAGTAAACGGAGGCCATGGTGGTCAGGTCAGGTCAGCTAGCTAGCCTGAGCGAGTAGGACAGATAAAAAGCCTTAGGCTTGGTAAGTGACAGTGGGCTTTTATGTGCAAGTGAGTGGGAGGCTCGGTGCTCAACAAGCAACTCATTGGGCGGTGCAGCTTAAGCTGTTTTTAGCAGCAGGCCAGTGATGCACACAGCGCTGGTTTTGCATTAAAAACATGATATCCGAGTGATATCGATATCTTCTGAGTTATCCAAGAGAGAGAATCCATCTCACAGCTTCCTCTCAACTTTTAACTAGTAGGGCCACCATGCTAGCTGCTGCCACTACTACTGTCTTTGCCATCATCACCAATATCGCCGCCGTTTAGGCTGCTGCTGCTGATACTGCTATAGCACTTGATATTGAGGCCATCATGATCTATACCGTCAATCTCATGGTGGGTGCATGTGATGGGGTGACCAAGAATAATATTGATGGGCTGTTGATCTTGCTCGTGGCCAATAATGGGGAGAGGCTCCGTCTGTAGTCTCCCGTCTCGAGGAGGAGAAAAAACAACTGGCAGATAGTGGTCTATCTCGCATGGGAACTTTGAGTTCTTGAAGTGCTCCTTCAACGCTTCCAACCCCTTCATCATTTGTACAGTTTATCTTTTTACAATTACAAGAAAACAGTACAAGCTCCGATATTGCTTAAGATTAGAGATGTTGAAAGAACAGAAATGAAGAAATACCTGAACTCTAGCATAAGTGACTGCACATATTTTTCTAGAGTTGAAGACCTCCCAATGTTGATTGTGGAAGGCCTTATAGAGCCTCCAAGCTGCCCGTGGAGACGTCATATTCACGAACCCATACCCCACGTTGCATTTGTTGCTGTTTAATTTTCGCAATCGAATATTCAGCAATGGAACATGGAAATTCAGTTGTCTTAACATTAGCTTCTACTTAAATACCAAAGAAACCTAACCTAACACAGTTGAAATAATGAAAAAAAGGGAATAAATGAAGTGGTGAAGGGAATCACTTGAAATCAATGGGAAGATATAAAAAATCATAGGAGGACAAGGGCTGGTCATCCCCATCCGCAAGCTGCTCGTTGCAGTGTATGCAGTGATTGTCCAGCATATTCAACAACAGCTTCTGACTGCAATAATTCATTAATAAAACATTCATGATTCACCTCAATATATGTACTCCTTATTAACAGCAGATCTTAGTAAAAACATACTCAAGTCTCAAATATATAGATATACAGTTTTTTTTTTTTTTTGGCAAAAAAAAAGTACTAAGTATATCAATTAGTTCCATATAAAAGAATGATAATAATGGCACCAGGAAAGAAAACCAACCTGTACTTATTGGGTATGTTCTTGATCATGACAGTGGTCCTGGGATCACTACCGTTGGTTTCCGCCATGGAATCATCACTTATAAGAAAACGCGTATCAAACTTCTTCGCTTGCCTTGATCCCTTCCATGACTTGGCACCCTTCTGTTGGTGCTTTGTAGTCGTGAAGGACTGACAATTTTGGCTCTTTTTTGAACTTCTCTTTGGAGGGCCATGATCAGCAGCAACCTTCTCAACAATTACATCTCCAACTGCACCACCAACACCCAATGACAAACACCCCAATGAAGCTTCAATTGAAGCATCATTAGGGTTTCCTTTGCTAGGATTACTAGACGGTTTCTTTCCAGCTGAGGAATGAGTTTCAGTACGACATGCACGAGGAGAGATATTCGGAGATGAGCAGCCGGAGGGGAATGTACGAAGCAACGATGTTGACGGTGGAGGTTGTGGCGACACATAAGTTGAGATGTTGGAATGGTGAAGGTTTGTTGGGGAGTTAATGACAGGAGTAGTGAAGGAATTTTTGGAAGTGGTTCTGGCATTGAAAAACTTCTTTCCATACCCACCAGGACGACTAAATTCAATATCAACTTGCTTCCCATAAATTTCCTTTCCGTTCATCTCTCTATGTGCCTTTGCTGCATCTCTTACATCATAGAACTCCACAAACCTTTGGTGCCTCTTCAAAGGCGTCTCTCTCAATTCCTTAACAGCGCCTGCCAAAATAGAAATAATCAAAAACTCAGCTATCAATAAATAATCCAGGAAAGCGACCCATCGCATTTCACAAACGGACTTGAAACAAGAACCAAACCTCCAAAAAAAACCCAGAAGAGAGAGAAAGACATCTCTTTCATTTTGGAAAACGAGAAGAAGACAAATAATTTACCAAAAGCTTGGAAAATTTCTTTGAGGCATCTGGTAGAAACATTGGGGTCCAAATTGAAGACCACAAGAGTCCCTTGATTTTTCCCATCCGGCACCGCGTTACACGACGGAATAATGAACTGGGCCCAAACCACACAACCCGCTATTAAACCACGCGCCGGTGGTGGTTGTAGTGGCGGTGGTGGTGCAACATTGAAGCTCAAGCTCTCAGAATCTTGGATAAAGAGGTTCCTTAGCCTGGCTTGATTCAGCATGTGCTGCTCTCGTATCTCCCTCAGGGCTCTCTCTGCATGTCTTAGATCGTAGAAATGAACGGTCACAATCCCATCATCAACTCTTTCCATTTGGACCCCTCTAACTTCTCCAAACACCTCCAATTCTCTCCTAATCAAAGTCTCGCTCACGTCGCTCGGCACTGAACTCAGTACCAGAGTCCGAGTTGGCGCGCCAGAAGGAGGAAGGGGGAGAGGAGGACCCACGCTCAGGTACGCCGGAGGTACATGATGATGATACGGAGTGAGACCTACAAAGTCGCCAAACGGCACCGCTTGAGGGGTGTAGGTGTAGTATACTTGGTGCGGAAGCTGAGATAGCGGCAGTGGTGGCGGTGGTGGAGGTACAAAAGTGGGAAATTTTGGTGTGAAATTTTGAAGGTTATTATGTGTAGGCCTGAACTCTTGTGCTCTCGGGTCTAGGTTTCCCGGAAACCGGAGGAAACCGGTTTCTTCCATAGTGGTTTTCCGATGTTTAAAAACCGGATAGTACAGATAAAGGAACGGGAAAGAACGGTTTCCCGGCGATACAACAGCCAGAAATACAGTGTAGTACACCAGTAACACTACGTCTGTTTGCTCTTTCTTCTCTCTCTAGTTTCTCTCTCTCTCTCTCTCTCTCTCTCTCTGAAAGTCTTTCTGAATTGAAATAAGAAGACCAAATGACTTTCCTTTCTCTCTCCTTTCTAAAGTTGCTAAAAATGTCCTTTGCCTGCGTTTTCTGGAAAATGACAATAATGCCCTTGCAGCCATTTTGGGTCAGGGACTTGTTTGTGATGATTTGGGTTCATTAATGAGAGAGGGTCCTAATTAATTACCGAACTGACTGGATTTTGTATACTTTTTATTTGCACGAGAAGGAGTGCGGTCCGTCCACGTGGCAACGGGACGAATGTTTGTGTTTGATCGTGGGAGAAGATCAAATTAATGTAACAGTGACAATGTTACTAATACCATAGGATTATAAACTTTCGGGGGTTAATTTGGTAGTTAAATAAGTATATTTCTTTTCTTAATTTTCTAAATCTGAATTCAACATTCAGAATACACCAAATTAAAAAAAAAAAAAACAACGAGAATTTAATTCTAATCACATGCAAACTTTTAATCTCTAATGACATGCAAACTCGCCCAAAAACGTAATTAAAAAAAAAAACTATAAAGAGTTTAGAGAATAAATTATAAATTAGTCCCTCTAATTTAAAGGGGATTGAGTAGTTGATTTAATTTTAATCACTAATTAATTAATTGTATATTTTCAAATATATTTGTAGTTTAATATTTTCATTCTTTTTTAATAAACAAAATATGATTTTTTAGATAAAATAGTATTTTATTTAATTCATTTTTACAAAACTAAAAAGAATAATTTATAAGTCGCTGAGTATAACGTAATATAAAGGTGGAGAGAAAGTACAAGATGGCACAACAAAAAGAGCCAAAAGATTTTGCCAAAAAAACAGGAAGGGATAATAATGGCACGATCTGATGCATGGTACTGGTACTTCATGTTGTTTATTTTGACTACTCAGAAGGGATGCTTTCTTTGTGCACCCCAATTAATACTTCTGTCCGACTCCTCGATTCTCCTTTTCTTTTCTTCTTCTTCTTCTTCTTCTTTTCTTTTTTCCTTGCCAATTAATTATTAGTCCATTGCCTTGCGTTTTCAAAAATCAACGTAATTAAATGACCCAGTAATTCTATGCTGGGATTTTCAAAATCTGAAACAAAAAAAAAACACTATAAATCAGTCTCAGGCCGATGAATTTAAATTGATCACGAGACTTGGAATAAAATTGAATTCGTAAAAATTAGTGCTATTAATAATGTTGTAATATTATATTTTAACTGCATGACTAAAAAAAGCATAAATTGAAATTTTTGTTTTATTAACACACAGACTAAATTACATATAATTAAAAGCGTTTATTGCATATAATATATCGAAATATTATGCATGATTGACTCGATATGGTAAAAAAAAAAACTTGTATTTCTATTAAAATTATCTTTATATCATTCTTTCGATCTTTTATCAAGTTAAAGAAACGAGGGTTGTAATAAACATTTTTTTTTTTTGAGAATTTTATAACAAGTTTTCTAAGTCATATTATTGTATTCTAAACATATATAAGAGAGTTTAATAAATTCAATTTTATACGGTACGGAAATTAACGGATTGGGAGACTGATATGTATTTATCTCAAAATATAAAGTGTAGAATTTGGTCAGCTTGATACAGTCTCTTTGTGTTCTTATGGCTCTGGAAAGTTGAACTCTCCAGCCGTAGAAATATTTGTAAAAGACTTTGGTGATTGGTGTGGTGGTATAGGCGATGGAGAATGGCAGTGTTCATCAATGCGGTGGGTGGGAATCCTAGGATAAAGCTACTCATCGACTTAAACTTGGACTTTCTCAATTTGGCATCAACTCTGAAATGGATTTCAAGTTGGCTAAATACCTGCTTTCAAACTTCAAAAATTGAAAAACATCTCTCTTTGTTCAAGCCTGGCTTTTATTTCGGACTTATATATATATATATATACTGTGTGTGTGTTTTCTTAGAAAGTTTTCAATTTTATATATATGTGTGTGTTCTTAGAAAGTTTTCAAAGGATTGGATTCATCGATGAATACCCACTATTTACTAAAAATAATTTTTTAATAATTCAATATTTTGATGTTGAAACGAGCTTTTGTATTATAATATACTACTACTAGTTATGGAGGTCTGAAAGTATCCCATTGATACCAGATGTTTATAATTTAAAAAATAATAATTCAAAATTTTCATGTTTGAAACTAATTTTTATATCAAAATACTATGTCGCCATACATTTTTATTGCCTAATCTGCTGTTTTCATTCGGTTTAGTTAAATTCCCTCAACTTTCAAAATTGTGGGGGGAAAAAAAAAACAAGGCGTTGACGTATATAGCGCTATCCTGGCTGCAGCTATTCGGTTTTGGCTCACAAAAACATTAATGGCGTGGTGTTTCTCTTCTAGGTGAACTCTAGAAAAAATAAGAGAAAAAGGATTCGGATTGTTTGCATGGTATTATGAAACAATAAATACTCATTTGATATTCTCACTATTTATGATTCTTAATATGATTTAATTTATTATTTAATATAAAAAATTAAAAAGGTTGTGCAATTGATTCAATAAGTTATATAATTTTAATGGTTTATAGTCCATTTCAATTTTCATTCTAATATTGAAGCCTACGATATAGGCTTCATTATTCATTAATTTATGTATAAGTATTTTATAGAAATTGAGAAAGTTATTTGAAGTTGTTATCTCTTGTGTTCACTTTATTTTAAGTGAATTCATTTTTCTATCATCTTTCTCTTCAATTTTACTATTGTTATTATTTTTTTATAACACGTTATTAGCACGAAGCTCTAACCAATTGAGATAATTGACTATGAGGTATGTATTTATCAAAATACTCGATCATTTATTTCAATCACTGCATTGTTTCTCTACACGAGTGTTCTGCTAAAAGATATAAATTATTTAGATTATTAAAAGATATGTATCTAATTTATCATATAATTTAAATCTAATGATATATAGAATATACATTTGAAAAACATTAAATGATTTAATATACATAATCTAATTATCTAATATATATTATTTGAAAAGTTTAAATTTTATTATTATATTATATTTTTATTTTCTAATATTATGATTATACTTTGCATTATAGAATTTTTATTATATTAAACCTTACAAAACTTGATTTTGTGGCCCTTGACATTTTGGGCAAGAATTATTGCTCGTGAGTGTTTGATGCTCGAGTAAATATTCTTTACTTTTCATGTCTCGATTATGCTCCTGCAATAACATATCGAGAAAAGAGTTAAAGAAATATTCTAAATCGATTTCATACTTATTTGTTGCTAACTAAAATAATAAGTTATTGATGAAAAAATAAATCTCGTCCAAAGGATCTACTTCATTCCTGAAGTGAATATGACCGCTTATAATAATTTTGAGCATGGACGAAGATGAGGTCATAGCCATAGATATGGTTGAAATAATTATCATTATAATCGCGATGACCATAATAATATATCCCACCACTAGAAGTGGATAACTATGAAAAAAACAAGAAAAGAATAAAAATAAATCAAGTTAGTATTCTGAAAATGAATGTTATAGATGTGGCATGATGGATATTGATCGCCTACCTATCGTAAACCAAAACTCCTCATTAAATCTTGTCAAACCTCGTTGAAAAAAAAAGAGCAAAATATAGAGGTTAATTTTATATATCAAAATGGAAGTAATTGAAATTAATCGTTTGTTAGTTTTTCTATTTATAAATTAGATGTTTTATATTTTTTTATAATTTCTATCGCATAAAGATAGTTATAAATTTATTTTTACTATTTATTTACTTATTTTGTGTTTATGAAGAATATATTTATTTATTTATTTATTTTGTGTTAATATTATATATGATAATATTAATTTAACAAAAAGCTCAAGAAGAGCGATTATATTATTATCCGAAGAGATAAATTTTGAAAGCTCTAGAAGAGCGAATTTATTATTACTTGAAGAGATAACTTTTAAAGACTCTAAAAGAGTGAATATATTATTACTTGAAGTGATAAAATTTAAAGACTCTAAAAGGGCTAGTATATTATTATCCGAAAGGACAGATTTTATCATAATGATGCATTATTCTCTCTAGAGTCTTATAGAAATTTATTGATTTTTAAATATATTTGTCTAAATAGACATCATATCAAGATAAAAAAATATGAAAATATTAAATATTTAAATATTATAATTACATCAAATAGAAAATATGTATTAAAGAAATTATATGCTTTCTCTTATAGTCTTTATTACAAACATTGGAATAATTAAAATAAATATTATAGTAAACTAGAAGTTTACTAATTCAAATACTTTTATTATATGGCATGACTAGTTGTGTTATCGTAAGTCTTTCATGATATAAAAATTTATTATAAATTCACATCGATATCTATTGAAGAGCTATAAGATTCTTCAATTTTTATGTTCTGCTTGTTCTCAAGGTAAATTGATTATTAAACCATCACCAAGTAAAATTGAGATTAAATATTCGGTATTTTCAGAATGTATTCAAGGTGATGTATGTGGATCAATTTGTCCACCATGTTAACCATTTAGATATTTTATGATTTTAATAGATGCATCCACGAGATGGTCTATTTATGCTCATTATCTACTCAAAACCAAACATTTTTTAGGTTGCTAGCTCAAATAATTTAATTACGAGCATAATTTCTAAATTTCCATTAAAATAATTCACCTTGATAATGCTCGGTGAATTTATCTCTCAAGCATTAGATGATTATTGATTAGCTATTATAATAAAGGTTGAATAGCACTGTTGCTCATGTTCATACTTAAAAAGATTTTATATAATCATTTATCAAAAGGTTTCAATT